CACCTTGGAGCCTCTGAACATTATTTCTTGTTCTTTTGGTTCCTCTCACCCTCTGGTCAGAATTCTAAACCTGATTCAGATGGGCCACCAGGATAAAAATTTAGTTTCAATAATTCTTTTCACACATTCTGTGTGTTTTTTCCCCTACGTTTTTGTCTCAATTACAATACCTACAGAAATATCCTTGTATAGGGAGAATACATTCACAGCGCAGCTTTCTTAGCATTCAAAACCAGAAGTGATTGAAGATACAAATTCTAAACACCCGCAACCATTCCCTCCCCCGCTGTGGAACTCATTCATTTTCCTGCTCTTCTGCATAGAGCAGAAAGCGAAACCTGTACAGGAAGTGTGTTATTAAAGACGCAATCATTATACTGTCCTCTCAGATCAAGGTTTTAAAGGAAGAACCTCGTGTGGACGCTGTCCACTTACACAAGGAAACGATGCTTAAAACACAGGTAACAGAAGATCTGTCCGAAAATGTGGCCTTCTATTCTGCTGGTGGAGTTCGAGGAACTATGCCTATGCTTTGCTGCCACCTTGGCAAACTAGGAGGATTTACACCAGAATTCTTCACCAGGAGGACTGCAGCAGCTCTCTCTGGCTGTCCTGAGGAAGGCCCGCCTACGGCCACCAGGGCTCAGAGAGACATCTGAAGTGATTGATAAGATTCTCATAGCCCCGAGTATGTTGCAGAGAGAAATTAAAACATCTTTCTGGAGGCGGAAAGCACACGTGTTCTTTCTATAGTAATCGATTTCAGCAAAATCCACGTGGCACCCTCTGAATACTTTCTAAGGGCTTCTTTTTTCTTTAGTCAGGAATGGAGACGAAAAGAAAGTGATATTCACGTGAGAACGGAGTTCGCACTCTGAGAGAAGCCCGGCTCGTTTAGGTGTGACAGTGACAGCGGAGATACTTTTCCTTTTAAATTTCCTGTGTTCATCTTCCAGACGCCTCGCCTTGGAGTCCGGAACACTTAGTCAACGCTGTTTTCTACAGGCACGAAAGATGCAGTCTTTCCTTTAACCTCTTCAAAAGGATTTGGGAAATTTTTGCCAATTAAAATGTAACCCTTGCAACAGACCTGCTGGCTGGACGTTGGCGCTTAGTTGTGTTTTTGCACCGTCATTCTTATTTGCGTTCCCGATTTTATTCTACGGATGGCCTCCTTCCCCACCCTGTCTTTCCCTCCGGGTTTCCCCATTCACACATTCAACTCCTTCATCTTTCAATCTTCCGGGGTCTCCGTCTGTCTTCATTATCTGATCGTGTCTTTGTGGTCTGAGTAGGTGTGCCCTGGCTGGGTAGATGGGGGCGGCTTTCCCGGTAACTACAATTACATGTGGCACGAGTGGGTGTTGCACTCCACCGTTCGTCTCGCACACGCGATGCAGTTAAAAGCTAGAGCTGGAATCAGCTAAGAGTTCCACAATCTTCAAAGCGCAGCAAGGAGAGGAAATAATACGGAGGGTGGGGGGTGGAAAAGTAAAGGAA